AAACAATCTCAAATTCCCAAATGATACATATAATACTTTAAATGAACACGTGTAGTTTCTTTTATGTAGCCCTAGCAACCAATTAAAATATTTATTAAAATGTTTGACGGCTGGTGAATTAAATTTAATTTAATTAAAACTTTTTATCTCGTTTGTCTATCAAAAAACAAAAATTCAGTTTCCAGTTTTAGTTGTTTAGTTATTCGTTTCAAATATTTTATTTTCGATAATTATTTGTTCGTTGACCGCAATTTAAAATGCATTTTAATTAAAATATATATACTGACATCTAATTACAGCATTTACTAAAATTAAAGTCTAATTAACTGTCAAATAATACAAATAAATAAGTCGCAAAGGGTGACAATAAAAATGTCAGCCTTATGTCAATATTAAAGGTTAAATAAATTCAATTTAAAACAGAAAATGTGTAACAAGCTGGTAAGGTCCTTATCTAAGTATATCCTCTTTACATGAAATCTCGAATAAGAAAATACAACACTTACCATAAATTTTTTGTAAATGTTATCGAATTTAACTGACATAAAAAAGAAAACTAAATTTCACGTATTGTACAAAACTTTATTGTCACCTTCACAAAGCAACGCATTTTCCAAACACTTGGTGTAAGTCTCGTCTGGGTCTAGAACAGCGATACTTTTTCGGTTTCGGCGAATCTAAAAAAGTTTTTAGCAATCTGGATAAACTTTAAATTCCCTTGTGGCTCTTTATTTTTCTCTTTCTGACAAGAAATACATAATACGAGTAATTGGCTAATATCTTAATCCATGTTTTCAAATAGGGCTGAACAAGACCTGAAGCCATAGACCTACAATAATTTGTAATTTAACACCATTAGACTACTTCTTGTGGTGTTATTTGAAAATATTGGTCTTTAACAATACACTAGGCTTCTCCCTCTGACTAGCTCATCGACTTTGCAATTGTCAGCGATCCTTTATGATCAGGCTCCCAAACGTTTCTGATGATGGAGTAGCTTGTTAAATTTTCTAGTGTGGACGGACACTCCTTGACTTGCTTTGAGGGCACAGTTAGCGAGCGAGTGCTATTAATGTCGGAGTGACTGCTCACCTCCTTCAAAGCGGTATTGAAAGAGGCTTTGTAGCTGTACGTATTTAGCCACCTAAGCGGCAGCCACTTCTGCTTAAAAAAAAAATAACAGTGGTCGGGTAGTCTAAAAATAAGTTTGACTCTAAAAAAGTACCTTATATATTTCAATTCTGTTGATAAATGCATATAATTACTAAACGATAATAGTTAATTACTGCGCAATAAAACCACGCTCTAACTTGTCAGTTAATTCTTCGTTGAAACTGTTCGTTCAATGAAGTTGAGAGGTGTACCCGTAAATAAAACGGTTGTGTTGCCGTTGCTATTCATATTGCTGAGTGTTAAAGTAAATTGGAAATATATGAGAATACAAATATAATAATATACAATGTGTTAGGATTAATAACCTAAAAAAATATATCTAAATTACGAATACTGAAAAAATATGCATATATCCAGTTTTTAATACTTGTCTCCCTTTTTAAGCAAGTCCAACTCACTTTGCGCATAAAAAATGTTCGCTGTCACAGCCCCAACATCAGCGTTCTACGATTTGAATATTGCAAACTGAATGCTGTGCGACGCGATTTCAAGGATATATCCTTGAAAATGGTTGTGGTGGATAAGCCGATCAGGAACTCTGTGGTACGTTGGCGGCCCTTCTATAAATAGCGCCTTTACTTCTCATACTTCGTATATTTTTTCACTTAATTGAAGATCACAATACAATTCCTCAAGCGCTCAAATGGCTACAAGCCTTTTATGCCCGACTTAAAGTTGGATGCCTGCAGTTACCTGAAGAAACGCAACAATTTCATTATGAACACGCTAATGGACGTTTGGGGCAAATATTCGAATATGAATCACACTTGCCCATATGATGTATGTATGTGTATATAAATATTTATTTTCAAATATTTAACATATTTTTGCGTTTCTTTAATCTTCTCCGTTCTTCAGCACGATTTGATTATTGAAAAGATGCGTTTCACCGAATCAGATTTTCGTTGGATACCATTTCCACACGGCGAATATGCTTTTTATGCCAAATTTGTTTTTAATAATATATTGGCTGCACAAATCGACTTTTTCCTAAGTATTTTGCAAGATTGATTTATATTTGAATACAATAAAAGAAAAAACACTCACTGAGGTGATATATTTAGTTTTAGGTTAGGTTTCACATAGCACGTCCACGTTTATTGTGAACTCTAAGAGCAAGTTGATGTCGACTTTTGATACTTCGGCCAATCCTCTGAACTCCAAAGTTTCTAGATATTTGAGTCGAGTTCTAGATAATGTTAGGCAAATATATAGGAGGTATTCTAGCGTGTCTCTCATGTTAACTCTTCTGCACTTTCTGTATGTATCGTTGTCACTTATGCTCATCCAGCTCGCTTGTGATGCCAGTAGGTTTAGACCTGTCAAGAGGCCAACAGCCGTCCTGCAGTACTTTCGAGACCGTGTGAGTAAGAAGTAAGTAAGCGAGTTTTTCTAAGGGTCATTTGCATATGATCTTGGAGATCCTACATGTACCTAAGGCATTCCATTTTGCCCCGATCCTCCAGTCAGCCCTTTCGTATATTTCGTTGTACATCGTTCAGAGTAACTTTGGTATTTCATGCACTTGTTTGGTAGCCAGACGGATGATACTTTTCGCATTCACATCGGCTGCTCATTTTCGAAACTTCTTTGTAGAATGGAAACCAGTTTATATGCAGTCATTACAACTACTGCTTTCTTGTCGGAAGCTTGAAGGGTCACCTAAGATCCAGCTCAGAGCAATAGAATCTGCCTCCCACTCTATTGCTCTATTTTAGATGTTGAAAGCTCCGCTTCCACAGGCCGTTACGCCATCCATCTTTCTTTAGTGCGACTTGAAATCTTCTCTCCCAGGGCCCCCACTTAGTGAGCTATGGTCGAAGTTCCTTGTCAGCACAGGTCCGAATTTGGAATAGTTATTACTAAGAGAGGTAGACAATCCCCTACCAATCTCACGAAACATACAGCAAACCCTTTTTGACAATCAATCCTAACTTTTACATGGCTGGCTGGCTCACTGTGATTCGATCACGACCGTTTTCACTGGATGTTGTCAGAAGTAAATCCACCAGCCAGATTGTATAATATTGTAGAATTATATTTTTCTTTAAGTAGTTCAGACAAATTGTAAGCGATCGATTCTTATAATTTATGTTGGTGTCCTAATAGGTTTAGAAGCCCACGACAATCTTTACTTTTTGAGATAAATTTTAATATGATCAAAGGGGCTTAGAATAGTCCTATTAAGAAAGTGAGAGAGGCATCCATACATTATCGCATTAAACTTGATGGATTTGTCACAACAAGTGAGAACTACAAGCTGACTTTAAGAAACCTCTCAATTTAACTTACTTACTTCTGTAACAATTTTTCTTGTACTCTTCTTGTTTTTAATTTCCTTCAACTTTTCAAAAACGCATGTGTTTAAATTCAAGATACTGCTTTTGTTTGTGTGACAACTCAACATTCACTTAAGGTTTCCACACATTTTTAGTAGTCCATCCACAGCTAGAAAAGTCACATAAATTACCAGTCAACCAACGTCAACTCTCAATTCGGCTCAGCTCGGATTACATTTATGTTAATGTCGATAATTTTTTTTTCATATAAAGACATATTTCGACTAATTGAATTATCAGACAAAATCACAGGCAATACAGTAAATGGCTTTATTGAAGCGAAACAAAAATGAAGAGAAAAGGTAGAAGAAAGCATAAGTAAACTAAAGACGTCAAGCAGATGCAACAAAGTTAAGGTGGCGTTGCATAATGGCGTTTGTGGTGGAGTGTATATGTTTGTAGCATATGTAAATCTGTAAGTAAATGAGAGCCTAGCTCTTAGGTAGACATGTATGGAAGTGTAGCTTAAACCAAAATTGAGTATATATGCTAGTGATACAAAATTAGAAAAAAATGCTAGAGCTAGAAAAATTTATTGCCACAAATCCACAAATAGCCCTTGTCATATTGTCACGTTGCCATACGTAATTGTTTTATTCGAAAATAAGTAGATAGAATATGATATATAGTTTTCTTAGCGATTATGTTGCCATCGATAGTGAGCTAGAATAGGCCATACCTGAGTAATATGTACTTGTGCCTTAAAGTGTATATAAAAGCAAAAGCAAAACGCTCAAAACTTTGTAGGAAAGGGTTGTTCCGATTGCTAAGACTCTTTTGGTCTATAAACCACTCGACGATTCCAAATAAAATCTTTTTTTAGAATGCTGTCGAGTTAAGAGTTCTTGGTCATATAAAAATTCGGATTCATTAACTTTATTTAGAGGAGGTTTGCAGTGGTGCAAAATAAAAAAGCCTTACACCTCTGTATTATTATTATTCCAACACTTCCTAAGATTTAGTCTGAATGCTCTTTATACTGGAACATTTAATTAAGAACTCCTATTTTTTTCCCTTTCTAACACTGCGTATATTTTTAAAGGGTTCTCTGTTTTCTCTCTTCTTACTAAGACTTAGACTGAATGATCTCAACGCTGGTACAATTTATAATGAACTTATTAATTTCTCTCTCTCTCTCTCTCTCTAAAACCAATTGAAAGAATTTATCATACTTCTGGCCAGTTATAAGCAGTATTTAATTCCAACTTCAACAACTTGTTGAAAGCTGGAACTTTTAATTCATACAAAGGAAAGACGGCTATGCAATATACTTCTATAATATATCCCTGCTAGAGTAAGTCCCTGCATGACACACTGCTAACCCTACTCATCTGATATTCTTCTTACTTTCACCTGACCCCGCCGAAATAGCACATTCCATAGGCCTACCGTTGGTTGGCGTCGACGACAACTTATCTGGTATGGACTAGATAGGTTTAGGTACCCGTTACAACAACAACAACCAGAAATATATCCATATATACTGATAGTCAAGTGACTTTGAAATCACTAAACTCCTTAGGGTCCCATAAAACTTAGTGAAAGAATGACATAATCTCTTGATAGACCAAACAGCCTATTTCACGCTAAACCCGCATTAGCTTTCAGGTAATAGTGGTATCCCTTGTAATTGCGAAAGAGATGAACTGGCCAAAGCACGCACCACCCTACAACTTGAATTAGAAAAATACCGTTATATACCGCTGTCTATTTGTAGATATTTAATCCATAATAAGGTGAAGTTATCAGTAAACTATAAACACCACATTATGACTATTGTGGAAGCTATAAGTAGGTAGAAAAAAAAGAGATTGTAGAATATCTTCTTGTATAGGAAAATAATCGTATTTATCGGTCGAGGGTTTCTTTTTTTTTATTGATCAACTTTATCAGAAGCACAGGGTATTTTGGAGTGGACATAACATAGTGATGGGATTTCAGCCGCGGAAGACGAAGAACATCTTCTTGTTTAGCAAAAGAATCGCAACTATCGATCGAGGGTTTCTTGACGATGTTCCGGACGTTTTATATTGATGAATTTCATCAAGAGCACAGGGTGGTTCAGAGTGAACATAATATGGTGAGGGTTTTCAGTAACGGTGGTTTCACAATGGATCTCCCAAAGGTTCAGTTGAATCTTCAGATATCTACGCTGATTTCAAAAATATTTCTGAACAGCTCAATATGTCATTGAAGGACCACCAGAGTTTGAATAAAACTTCTTATTGTTTATCAGAGGCAACACACCCATAGACTGGGACTGACAGATCAGGTAGACTGCAGGAAATGTCTAGAGCAAAGCAACAGTAAAACAATAGAGCACCTCTTCTGCACTTGTCTCGCATTGACAAAACTACGTCTGGGGTGCCCACGGTATGATACATTGGAAGGGATATCGATAGTGAGAGCACAGAGTCCATTGAAATTCGCATCAACCGCAGATAAGCTCAAGGATGGCTACTTCTCATGGACTTAGTAACTGACGTCCATCTGGTATCTCAAAGGACCAAAACTGGTCTATGCGTGGCTCATTGGGCTACCAGATTAACCTAACCTAATTTAATCTTATCAAAGGCAGGTGTAGAACTATGGGAGCTTAAAAGTGTGGTTAGGGTGCAAGTAATTAATAATTTTTAAAATACATATATATATTCTCTAATAAACCATTTGAGAAGGTAAAAGTATGGTTCTGCATTAAATTTGAAGATTTGAAATAGTTTGTCCAACTATATACCAACTATTTAGATATTTATTTTTTATTTTTACATATTTTTAATTTTTTCTTATATTTTTTGCTATATAATCTATAGCAACTAGACAATCTTAAATATAAATACAACAACCCTTATGTCCATAGCGCAATCCGCTTTTCCTTTTCCCTTTTTGGCTGCTTCGTATTGCATTTTCTTCCAGTTTTTTTATTTTGGTTTTTTTCTTTCGCCTGCAACAATTTCTTGACGACGTTATTAAAAATTCCTCACCACGCCACCTTGTAGTAGTGTCCCTTCGTAATATATATTGTGTATGTAAGTACTTATATAATATATGTTTCTTTTGTTTTTGCTGTCCGCCTTGGTTTTGTTGGTCACATATGACGTTGAACTTTTGAAGCATATGGGCCAAATGTCTTGGGTCAATTTTTTATGCGTAGGAATTTTTTCGATAACAAAACATTACACTTGACTTGCCACCGCCAAGCGAGGCTAAAGCAGAAGAAGAGTATGCGAAACCGAAAAAAATTTATGAGATAATATATTTAAGCTAAAAATAGCTATCAGAATGCAGTTAAGTGTGGTGTGGGCTGAATGGAAAAAGGAATGAAAAGGTGGAGGCAGACAATTTTACTTTAGCTTATATTTGCTTTCGCTTTATAAATAAAGAGATGAAAGTAGATGTCTCGAGAACTGCACATATGCCGGCAATGACAAGAAGATTGAACTAAGTGGCTTTCTATTGTGGAGAAATGTTTCATTTTAGACTGCTTCGACGTTTGCTTGGAAGAGACTTGGGAGCAGCAGCTTTCATTATTGAAGATTTTCTAGAAAATATTGCTGATAAAAATATTTAAAAAATTGTTTCTCATTTTTTCTTTGCTTTGGGAACTTTTTAAGCGAAGGCGGTTTTCTTCATTGCGTTGGGGGTGTTTATAACGTGGCGGGTCCACCGCACATC